AGGGGGCAAACGACTATCCAGGTCCCAGCCCTGGGGATGTCATTTGCTCCCTGCATTCCCTGAAGGGTGATCCTGAAACGAGTCAAGATGCAGAGCTGGTCCTTGGGATTTTGGGTGCATCCATCTCGGATGTAGCAGCAGAACGACTTGTGCCTTGCAAGCTGTGATGCTGGCTTTGGGGTGCAACTACATCGCAAGCACCCCATCCTGCTTCTGTGTCCCACACCACCCCATCGCCCGCTGCCAGCCAGCTCCGCCTGCAGCCCTACCGCACCTCAGACCCGCAAGGCACGGAGCATCCTCAGTCTCCTTGTAACACCCGTAACCTCACCTTGCTTCCAACAAACATCTTTTAAAACACGCCTGCTTACTCCTGATGGCACTGACCACACTGGCAGCCATCTCCTTCCGCAATGGGCAGCCTGAGGAGCCCCACAGCCAGGGTACCCCGTGGCCACGCATCTCCTCCCCGAGCTCCCACGTGCCGCACGGTAGCGGCGAGGTAAGGGAACGGCTTTCAGCCGATGGCAATGCCACCAACCTTCCTGTGCCGCCCAGAGCTGAGGTACAGCTGGCACGTCTAAGCATCTCGCAGGTGCTGCCTGCTTCACAGAGGGAAAACGCAGCACAGGTTCACGACAAACACTGGTTTGAGGGTTTGCAAGCAAGATTAGAAACTACTTTCTTTGCCGGTTTGATTGCTCAGCGCTATTGGCCTGGATCCGTTCAGGGCCAGGCTTCCCACAGAGCTTATTGCCAATGTCACGTCTGCTCGAGATGCCAGTTTGCTCGGGATGCACAGGGCGTTCCCACTCAGAGGAATGATCCAGGCTGTGCCAGAGGGCTGGGGCAGCCCCAAGGCTGGGTACCCCAGCCATGAACATGCCACATTTCCCATTTTTGGACATCACCCCCGGCACCTTTCCAAACAAGCAAGGGTGAGGCCCCAGCCCCCTCCAAGTAGAGGACACTTGAGCAGTGCCTGCTGCACAGGGATGAACAGAAAAAACCATGAGGCTCAGGAGAGCACTGACGGGCAAGGAACCCGCATCCTGGGCGCTGCCGCACGGCCTGCAGCACGAGGGCAGTGGGCTGCCACGACCCACACGCACAACGCAGCGAAGGCAGCCCCTGGCACAGCTGGGGGAAGTTCCTTCACATCTCCAGCACATCCCCTGCCTAAATCTGCAGCAGTCTTCCTAGCCATCACCTTCACCCACAGAGGCTAAAACCCAAGAGATGCTCCACTCTTCCCCGTGCTCCATCTAGACCCGTCCTTGGAAGGAGGTGTCACCAAAATAAATAAGGAGCATCCACTCCCACCGATGTGGGTCTGTGTTGGAGTTAAGACTCAAGAACTGGCAATAAGGTCCCAAGAGGTTTCTGGCAGTAGGTCCACATCACAAACTCCTGTGCTCAGGACCAAGCCCACAGCCACCTTGTGCTGCTCTGCACCCACCCAGCTGCTGAACAGGCATGGGAAGAGGCAGGCAGCGATGCTCAAAGCCCAGAAAAAGGGGGATGGGGATGGTCCCCACGCAGGGCTGTGCCAACCATGGCTAGCTGGTGCAGGAGAAGCAAGAAGCTTCCCAAGGGGGGCTGCAAAGCCAGTACTGGGGGGCACAAGCAATGGGATCTTTTCCATGCAGCAGTGTTTAAACCAGCACACCCTGAAAGAGGCAGAGCAGACAGATGGATCTGCCAAAGGCCATTTAACCTCAAGCGAGCTGTACTGTCTCCCCGGCTGCAGGGCCAAGGCAGGGCAGGGGGTGAGCCTGGCAGGGCCCAGAGCCACGCAAAGCAGTGACTTCCTGGCTCCAGAGCAGAGCCTGAGCTGTCGCATTCAGGGAAACTTCCCATGAACGGAGAGGAAACAACAGTATCGCTGGATGCTTTTAAGCCCAACTTGGTCTGATCCTATTCAGAGCAGCTCTGGGTGCAAAAGCATCAGCAATGCCAGAGGTCCAGGACCCCCATCCCACTGCTGCTACCAGGATGCAGCTCTGGCAGCCACGTGGGCTTCCCAATAAAAACCGGGGCTGGGATCAGCAGCGTTTCACCCGCCAGCCCTCTCCATCTTCCGAGCAAAGCAAAACCCAGCATGTTTGGCAGCCAGCCCTTTCCTTCAGAAACGAGCTGTCCCGGCTGGAGAGCTGGGAGCAACCAGCTGGATTTTTTCCAAAAAAGCCTGGTCACAGAGCAACTGGCAGAAGCATTAAGGGAAGAAATTTGCTCAGCAGCTACCGGCCAAGTGGCAAGGACTCAGTCCTTCTCTGTGCACTTCCAGCAGCCAGCATGCCAGGGGAGGAATGCAGACAGCACCCGGAAAGCTGTACCTTTCCCAAGCACCGCTTTCCCAGGCAGCTCAGCAGGTATTACGGTCAGATACTGTAATAGCATCAGTTAAGGTTTACATGTTTTTAAGGAAAATACTGGTAACCTGTTGGTACTTCTGTGTCTGTGGGATCTGGTGGAATTTATTCCAGGTTTGGCTTTTCTGACAGGATGTGGAGTTTTATTACAAAGGCACAGGTATCAAAATAAAATTAGCAACATTCTTTTAATTAAATATCCCAATAAAAAGAATTAATGCTTAATTTAGGCTTTATGTATTCCTCCCTTATCAAGAGACTAGTTTTGTTATTTTCCCCCTCTGGAAAGGTTTTAGTGCAGTGATTATATAGCAACAGAAAAATAAACTAAAAAAGGCACAAACTGTTTTGTGGTTTGTTGGTTGGTTGTGGTTTTTTTTTTTTTCCTTTCAACTTTTGCTAACACTTTATATTTTTCTATTTTGCTTCGGTTAATAAATCACTGAATGCAACAAGAAAATATTCTGCCAATTTCTGTACACTATACAAAAACCCCTACTAACAGTACATGATTTCAGCTTCAGGAGAAATGTACAGCATAGAAAGACTTCTTAAAAATATAGTGCCCCATACAGAAATTTTGTTAATTAAACTCACGGTCTCTTGCTACAGTGCCCTTCACCACACTCATTTCCCCCCCTTATTGCTGGGACACACACTGGGACTCACCCCACCGGCTCCCTGCAGGCTGGACCGAGCCCGAGCCCAGCACTGACCACGCTACCGGGGTTGTGTCAAACAGCACCCCCGTCCCCGCTGCCGGAGCCCGGCCCACGGCCCTGGTGGGGATGGGGTGAGCCCCCTTCCCCGCTGCTCTCGTTCGGCACCACCAGCCGTGGCTCAGTGCTGGGAAAGCTGGAGAGGGAAGGGCAGCCCTGGGTACAAGCGAGACACAGGCAGCATCCCACACGTGGGGCCATGCCGCCTGCCCCCCG